TTTGCGAGGGCGAGTTCGATCATCACGGTGAGATACCAATGCGTAAGAATCATTAACGAAGCGGGTGTGTCGGGGTTGAGTTTTGCTTGGTATACGCAAAAGAGTGGAGCAGTGTCGATGTCAAGGTGGGGACAACCGGAGAACCCAAAATCTCGATCACGAATATGTGAATATTGATCGGCAAGTCCGTGTAATGCCCCTAGCATGAAGAAGTTTGATCGTTGTCCTATCTCGGTGGCGGGTCGGGGAAGGAGGCAATAACTCATTGAACTCATGAAAAAGAGCATGAATTTTGCCCATATAATCGAGTCATAGAATCTTGATGTTTAGAGGAAATAACATCTACAAATTTAGAACAGACATCATAGAGACGTTGAGTATCATTGGTGTATAATAACTTGGCATGTTCCCGATTTTTGCACATGTTTCGTAGGAACGAAAAATTTGTTTTAACGAAGGATCAAGGGTACCCTTGAGAATCACGCATAATTGAGCATCAATGGTGTCCCAACGGTCTTCCTCACCAGGAGTGAGAGTAGGTGCTTTCGGGGCAAGATGATCAAGATACTTCGACTCTTAAGCCATAATCGACGTCCGATGACCATGTGGCATAATTAGGGCCAGTTAACTTGTCAATGGATAAGTGCACATTAACATAGTTAGTGTAGATGGAAGGATCAGACGCAGCGATCTGACGAATTGGAAGTACTAAAAGGAGCGGAAGAACTCATAAAGGGCGAAGGCGATAGTGACAACGGCGTGAACCAAGTACACCAGGTAAGTTCCCGGAAAGAGAGGTGGGTCACTAATGGACACGCTTAAATACCAAGTCTTTCCTTGTCGAACTTTCCTAGACATGCACTTTCACACTACCAAATAACCGACAACGATAGCGGCGGTGGTGGCGACTTCAATAGTGGTCTAAGGCCAAAAAAATTCAAAATAACCTTAAGCTCTAGATACCATGTTGAATATAGAAGAAATAGAGTTTGGGATTAATCTCCCTTGTGTATAAATCACACATAGGGTAGTCTATTTATAGTAGAGAGATACAACTAAAAGAGTAACTGAAAGTAACAGAATAAACAGAAGATATTGTTTGATATTATGGTTAATATCTAACAATATCTTAACAATATTAAATAATATCTAAACAATATCTAACAGAGAGAATCTCCTGATCGAGGGTATATTTCCTTTTCGAACTCTTTCTCGAATTCACTCAGGTCAAATTCCATATCTTCCTCAGATACATCCATCTTGACATGCTTAGGATTGATGTCTTCAGTGACATCTACCATGCCTATGAAGGCTGAATGTGTTAATCGGACATCATCAGTAATGCCTGTTTGGGATTCGAGGTATCCTACTTGAGCCTCGAATGGACTCGTATCAACTTTCATTGTCATTTCTTCAAACTTCAACCTTCCTTGGTCGATCGCATCTTGGATGGTGTTCCCGAAATGTATACAATTGTTAGTCCAATGTCCATAAATATTATGAAATTTGCAATATTTTCGACCATTCCTTTGTTCTCGCAGATGGCGTTTATGATCATCACTCAACTTAATTTGTTTGTCTTTTAATAAAATATCAAAGATTTTGTCTGTTTTTGTCACATCAAAAGTATATGTTCGATTTGTCATTTTATCTTTTACTTCATTCTTTTGTAGCAATTTACGTGTATATGGAACCCCCACTTTGAGTTCTGCTAAGTTTACTTTCTCATCGACAGTTTCTTCAATATCATTTTCTCGTCATATTATCTCGTCTCATATATATCATTTATGTATGCTATTCTTTCCTTTTTTAGAGGTTTCTCATATTTCTTATACCTTTGTTTCTCATACTCGATTTGTTCTACTCTTCTCACTTTATCAGCCTAATTGAGCCATGTCATTCAATGGTAAATTGACTAGTTTTTTCCTAATCGAGAATTCTAAACCTGCGAAGTCATTCTGACTAATTCATATTCGGGAATTTGAGTGAAACATCTTGATTTCATTTGTCTAAATCGATTCAAATAATCATCTATGTTTTCATGATTGTATCTTTTTATATTCATCAAGTCGATGAGACTCACTTGAGTTTCTCCTCTGAAGAACTGTTCATGAAAATTTCTTTCCAATTGTAGCCAATTATATATCGAATTAGGTGGCAATGACGTGAACCAAGTAAAAGCATTCTTAGTCAAAGAACTCGGGAAATATTTCATTTTCAATTCTTCACTCATCGCTAGATCTCCACACTCGATCTGATATCGAGCTACATGCTCGATAGTCGATTCACCAACTTCTCCAGACAAATTTGGTGAATTTGGGTACTTTATATCCTCGAGGCAATTCTGTTTCGAGAATCGCATTTGGAAAGGGAGACACAAAATATGTCTGATTGGGTGGTCTAAATTCCATCCCTTGTAAATTCATTCTTTGTCCCAACATATTATTCTGATTGTGTATATTTTGAAATCCTTCGTTCAAATTTCCATAAATATCATTCCTCACATTTTGATACTCATTTCCTATACGCTGTTGTTGATCATTGTTTCTATTCCTTCTTAATAGATATGGGGGATTAATATTAGTATTCTGATTAGTATGATTTTCTGTCCTCGTTTGTCGAGGCACAGCCTAATGCATCCCCGATTCGTGACATTTGGTCTCGCTAATATCTCAAAGCTAGCAGTAGTGTTTTGCACTAATGGATTTAAGACTCAGTAGTCAATTGTTGTGATAACATATTCACCATTTCAAAATTACTCTCATCCATTTGTTGTCTAAGTATTCCTAAGGAGTTACTGGAAATTCCGAGTATGGGTATTTTCGATATTCTCAAAATTAGATCGATGATAGTCCCTATCAAATGCATACCTCCCCCGATCGGGATTCCCTCTAGGATCTAGATTCGGAGATGTCCGTTGTATACCTAAATTTTGCCCACTCCCGAGTTTTGTGATGTCACTGAATTTTGAGACGCCCCTAAATGTGAAGCAACTCCAAAGTTTTGCGGCATGCTTAGGGTTTGAAATGTACCTACGTTTGGAGGCATTCCTAAGCTATATCGTGAATTTCTATGTATCGACGAAGTGCCAGCTCCGTTCATGTTATTGGGTGAAAAACCAGGTGGTCTTACACTCGTATATGGCCTCGCATATGTGGTTATGGGGTTTCCCATAGTTTGCATATTGTTTGGTATCGTCATACTAGGTCCTATATGGGTGTTTGCCAATGTTCCTGGATTTTGTTCATTATTTGTTGGTATCGACGTACTTACGGTTGTCGATACTACGAGCATACTCCCATTGTGCCCTTGCCCCCCGGTATTTGGTGAGAGCACACCACTTAGACCCTCATTGTTATTCTGACTACTTGACGAATTCTGACTCATTATAACTCTCCCACTTCTTAATCTCATACACTCACGAACTAACCTCTTTTGTGTTTTTTCAACACAAGACTAGTCCCCTACCTGGCGCGCCAATTTGTTTCTGGTGGAATTTCGATCGATCTCGATTCTAAAGGTGTTTTGGTCCTAATCAAAATCCTACCACGTAAGCTCTTTTTACTTAGGCTAGCAATTTGGTTTTCAATCGAAAACGTGTATGAAAATCGAAAACTCCAGGATATCGAAAATACTGTTTTTGGTATTTTGTATTTAAAGTATCGAAAAAATTTAGACTATCAAATAGAAAAGCAGAATATTAAATTGCGAGGAAATGTAACATGCGAGAACCCCAAACTTGCATTAATTGTAAATAGCGAGGAATCGAAAACAACACAAATATAACTGACAAGAAATCGAGATTGCAAGAAAAGTAAATGACAGGAAATTGAGATTTGCAGAATGTTAAATAACAGGAAATCTAAATGCAGAAACTCAAATTTTCATTGAATTGAAATGGACAAGGAATCGAAATACAGAAACATAAAACTGCTGAATTTAAGTTGCATCAAAGTAAATTACCAAGGAAAATACAGAAAGCGATAAATGTACTCCGTGAGCAGGGAAATCCAGACCGCCAGAAGCTTCATGGTGTTCGTCGTTTCTCCGGTAGACTTTTCACTACTGGTTCTGTGCTCTGCCAATTTTTGCTCCCCCCCCTTGTTCCTTCCTTCTTTGCTCTATTTATAGGGCATCCTTCAAGCCTTCTAAGAGCAGTTAATACGACTGCTACCACGTTCTACGTGCGTATGGCAGTTTATCTTCTAGTTTCCCACGTTCTCACGATCTCCGACTTTTACCCATGATTTCAAAACTGCTCTCTATACGTGCATTCGACTTACTTCTCTTCACGATTTGGCCAAAATCTCGATGTCCCCATTGGTTTTCTTTATTCTCGATTCTATATTTTTCGAGAACTTCGAATTGCTCACGATTCCTTTTTAATCCTGATCTTATGACTTAGTTTTTATTCGACAAGGGTCATTTGATTATAATTCATTCGATTCTCGATTGTGTTTCTCGATGCTATATGCTACGTATTTCTAATTTAGACATCGAATGAACTTTTGTTTATCTTATCGAGTCATATTTCTTCCCTTCGATTTCGATCGCTTTTCTCGATTTGCCACTACCAATGGGTAAAATGTTTAAATTAATAATAAATAATACGTTAGATTAATTTACTAAATTATGATATTAAATAATTTAACTCTTAAATTTATAAATTTTTTTTACTTTTGCAAAATTACAAAACGGCATTCATTTTAAGTTTTAGATGTTGCCAAGCAGCATTAATTCAATTTAAAAGTAAAAAATAAGAATTAAATGATTTTTTATCAGTTGAGAATAAATTAATGAATAATTAATTAATTTGATGGTTTATCAAAAAACAGGGCACATCTGTAAATAAGATGAAATAGCAGGGGCAAACTCGGCGAGATTATGCTTATATATAGACCCAAGTCTCACTCTTCCTTCATATTCTCGTCAACCCTCAACACTTAATAAGAAAAGAGAAAAAGTTAGCCAAACTTTGTTCTCCTTCTTACCTCATAACAATGGCGATGGCTTTCAAAATGGTAGCTTCTCCGTTGCATCTGTAACCGTTTTTCTTATTCTGTCTGTTTAGATTTCGATATGAATATTATTATAGGAAAAACTTTTGTGGTTTAATTAGCGATGAAATCGGGTTTGTAGATTTTGCTGTGTATGCACAATGTTATAGTGATGAATTGGTTGTGATTTGTGAATTAACAGGCGACTACTGGGATGTGGGTGACGGATGAGTGCAAGAACTCATTCATGGAAATGAAGTGGAAAAAGGTGCATAGATACATAGTGTTCAAGATCGATGAAAAGTCAAGGCTTGTGACCGTTGATAAGGTGGGTGGTCCCGGCGAAAGCTACGGTGATCTTGCAGCGTCCTTGCCCAACGATGATTGTAGATATGCCGTGTTCGACTTTGATTTTGTCACCGTCGATAACTGCCGCAAGAGCAAGATCTTCTTCATTGCATGGTATCGACATACAATTCATCTACTCACACATCTCATCAATTAATCAACCTTCTATTGTTCATATGTCATGGCTATGTATCATGGTTATTTGGTGACCACCCTCGTTTGACTATGAAGCCATTGTTGTATAGATTTTGACTCTGGTACTAATAATGTTATGGGAAAATGACCCACTACCCAATAGGGTAATTTAAGTTATTTTTTAGGTCCAAATGCAATTATGGTGTGAATTAAATATGATGGTTGATGCCAAGGGTTGGTTTTGTTTTTTGCAAAAAATTTCAGGTCTCCAACAGCATCAAGGATAAGAGCAAAGATGCTGTACGCAACATCGAAGGATGGGCTGAGAAGAGCTCTGGATGGAATCAGCTATGAAGTTCAGGCCACTGATCCAACTGAGATGGGATTCGATGTAATTCAAGACAGAGCCAAGTAGATGCCCTTTTTTAAGTGGGAATCCTACTCCTAAATTATGTTCTCATCCACCTAGCTAATCAATCAATTAATCCCTCAATCTTACTCTCTCTTGTTTCCTATAATAATATTTATATATATATATATATATATAGTCCATCCCATGACTGTCATCACATGTGCTCTTCTTATTTCTTGTTCTTATGCTGGTTTAATTGTGTTGGTTTGGGCACCATTGTGATGTAAGTGGGGCATCTAATCTTGAATCCTTAGTCATGATAATAAGTTATGTGTAATATATGACTGTCGGGTGTATGATAAGTTAAGGGCAACAAACTTTGGTTGCAATCTCTTTAATGATGAAAATTGTGGACAAGAATGGATTAGTTCAACTTTTCACACGGAAAGTTGATGCCTTACCTCATATAAATCATGATTTTGCATTCTACATTCTTAATACCTTGTACTTAACCATTGCACTTTGCTAACTTGGTAATTGCACTGCTAACAGTGCTTCCTCGTAGATTTGTACAAAACCAGAAACATTGTCTCAGACAACATCAAAATAAACTAAACAACGGAGGACCTTTTACATGTCAAAAGTATTTCTATACTTTCCCAATACTTTACACTTCTTTTGGGTACAGGTAAAGAGAATATAGTAAGTGCACCACCAATACTTTAATTTAAAAGTAAAATCTAATTATTAGAAAAATAATATAGTTTACACAAGTAATAGTAATAATATTATAAACAACTGTCTGTAATATTACTTGGTTGTGGGCATTTTCTTTTGACTTTTTCTTTTCGTCTTTATCTTTTAGACAGCCAACAAAATTGAAAAGCTGTATGGTGTGCATGAAATTGTATTACCTGGTTAAAACTTGGGTAAATGCACACCATCGTTTCTTGACAAAACGTTCGAGGACCTTTTCCATGTCAATTATCCAAATTTCTTGTGCAAAATACGCTAGAAAGATTACAAGATGGGGACATGCGTAATTGTCAAAGATTTAAACTACCTTTTAAGTTAAATATATATTCCAATATATAAAGTTATCGTTTTCAATACATTAATAAGCAAACAACATGGATTCAGACAGATTTCCGAGAGAAAAAAAAAAGGAATATGGAAACAAAGGGTACGCAGGTAAGTAGTGTTTGTCGGTTAAGATACGTAGATGGATTGAGTTGTCCGAATTGGGCAATTGTAGTGGGTTGATGGGCCTGGGCCGGGCCGGGCCTCACAGTTGATTCCTTGGCAGGGCATACTGAACCTTTTCATTTCCGTGTCGTTTTCGTCCTTCTGTGGACGCATCAACTTCACCGTTCAACCTTATCACCAATTCCTCTTTTTATACAACCCCACCTCAACTACTCTTTTTTTTTTTTTTCTTTGCCAATTATTCTTATACAATAATGCTATCATCGAATCCTTTTTTAATCATTTGTTCAGCAATAAAATTAAGTCATTATCTTTCTATTATAAAAATTTACAATGACGAATAAATTTAATAAAGAAAAGTTAATAAAGTTGGACAAAGATCTAAATAAATGTTATTTTAAAATTTATTTAATCGAGTTTTATTAAATATTAAAAGAAAAATGGAAGTTGATATACAAAGAAAATATAATTCTTAAGTCACTGTAATAAAAAGGTTAATAGAAATTAAAAAGAAGTTTTTTAACCAGTAGGATATAAAGAATAGAGTGCTATTTATAATAGCCTAATAGGTCGATCGCTTATATATAAATTATTAGTTACTTGAACTATTTTTTTATTGAAAGAATAGTATATGAAATGATAAATTATTTAAATTTTTTTTATAGTTGATTCATCAATTAACTTAAAAAATAATAAAATAAAATAAATTATGAATTGTTTAAAAATGATGTATCATGATAAATTAATATTTTACATTTTTAAAATAAAAAACAATTCATATAAAATACTCCTGTTTCAAATCTTTTAAATTATACATGTTTTATTATCATTTAAAGTTTTAGAATTTTTTTATATTTAAATAATTGCGTAAATTATTTCATATATTATTACTAAATTATTATATATTTAACCTAGTTATAGTAGAGAATGTCCCCATTTAAAAATTGGGTCGGGTGAAGTTAAGTACTTCCTTATTACAACAATCTCATGCTTGAATCAATAGATTAAAACATTTTAAATGGTATATGTATATAAAATCTAAGGATTCTTCATACAAGTGAGACACTTTAACACACATCCCAACCATCACTAATGAATGCAGACTAACATATCATTCCTAAAACTTATGTGGCTATGTCTCATTCCTTGAAGTTAAATATCACTGATACTGTAGCATTAGTTTTGAAATTTTCATGTAAATGTAGCATTGGTGAAGGATGCATTTTTCAGCTATCATAACCAAAACCAAAACCAAATAACAGCTACTTACACAAGTTGCATGGTTTATGATGATCACTGTTGACATGGACCACAAAACCCCAAACCTTTATCAGGGCCAAGTTACTTTCAAATTATAACTGGCCCAGAATGATGGCCATGCTGAAGGTACTCTATCAAATTTGGGCTTCACTAATATTTAGGCTACTTCTCTGGTTTTGGATCAGAAATTTAGTTCAAACAATAGAACTTACCAAATCTCTCCCTGAGAAAAGAGAATGAGATTTTCTATTATTCTAGTTAAATTATTATTACATTAACAATATTAAAAAAAAGTTGGAGAAATTTTCATTTTGTACTCTTACACAATTTTTTTAAACACATGGTTAAATATGATTGAAGCATTTAAGGAAGGGAAGCCCCACTAGAAAATAATTGAGAAAAATCATAGGTAAATTAATTCATACAATATATAAAGGATCATTTTTTTTTTTCAATATCTGTAGTGATTGGGTCCATGAATGGATTATGGATGTCTTACATAAATTCCTCTTCTATTTCATCCATGCCATATATTCCGAGTTGACTCAACATCTAGACCCGTGGCCAAAGTATAAAACAATTTCTGACAAAAATCACTTTCCAGCTCAAACCTAAATTAAAAAAAAAAAAGTGAAAGAAAAAGAAATATGACATCTGTCGGACGGACCAGACCACTTTTGGAGCCGTGAATGACTCAAATCATCACATCCTTCCACGCACAAATCTTTCTCCAAAGCAATCTTCACCCTTCATCTTATTCCACGTGGCCCATCCAATTATGCTGCACCGTTCGATAGAGGGTCCTGGGATGTATCTCTTGTCCATAGATAAAGATAAAAGCTTAAATATATCACGCGCGCGTTCCATGCCGTGGACTGATTTCTTTCCCCTTTTTATTTCATTCTCTGCATGTCTCATCCAGTTTAACAATTTGAGAGCGTGCGTCTTTCATCCACTTGTCAGTTTATGTTGGTCTGATTAAAAAATATATATATATATATATATATATATATATATATAATTTTTACAATTTATTTAATTTATATTATTTAGTTCTTATACGAAAGAAAAGAAAAATATTTAGGAAAAGTGTAATGATATTGCAACTGACCTTGGTCATCGACGTTAACTATGATGATTCTTTATTCTTTATTTTTTTTATATTATTATAATAAATTCAAGTGGTCAATGTGAATGACAAAAGCATATGAAATAAGCAGTATCTTCACTTTTATAATTTTTGTCGGTTGATGAAAAATAATATTAAAAAAATAAAAACATGTCTGTCGGTAGTGTTGTTACTTTTAATGGTTTTGGGCTAAAGTCCCTACCAGTTTCCTGTATTACAAGGAACTATTTGTTTTGCTATATTAAATCTATTTTCTATTTAATTATTCTAAAATTTGAAACTTACAAATATTCTAAAAGAAATACTTTATTAGTAACACTAATCTCTATTTAATCAATTATTACATTAAATATTGATCTATAAATGTGTGATAGTTATTATTACGAGGGTATATTTTCCTTTGAAAGACAATAGTACATGGAATAAGGCTTTAGAATTTCATGACAAACCTTTCCCTTCCATGAATGGATAAAGATATTTGTTGGTGAGACTCTCAATTCGCATGTATGCTTATAAACAAGCGCATGAACTCTCTCTTAAACCGTGTGAGAAGAGAATTCACGACACTTACGTGTTCCTGTACTGTTATTTAGAGGTTAATTTTTTAACATTTTTATTTAGTTTTTAATAGTTAAACTACATTATTTTTTTAAATATTTATCCATATATAAATAAATGAAAACTATTTACGGAAAAAAAAATCAAAATAAAATATTAACATTAATAAGAAAGAATAGGAAATCTAACAAGTTAAAAATAAAAAATTAAAATCAATGTATTGGTATGAAAAAACATTTATATATTTATAACATAAAAACACTATTAGAAAGACATCATAGTGCTTAACTTACCTATCAAGCATATTGCTTAAATATAAAGTTTTAAACCTACTTTTTGCCTATTAAAAATTGAAAATGATATCAACTATTATTCAATGATATTTCAAGTGATTATTCGTCATTTATATATAACAAATAGATAATAAATTATTAAATATTTATAAATGAAAAAAAAATAACTACTAATATATATAAATTTTATTATTGATTTTAATATATAATAATGATTATAAATTTTAATAAAATAAATAAAACTTACCTTGTGACTTATTATAATATATTATACATCAAAATTTTATTTATAAATATATATATATATATATATATATATATATATATATATATATATATATATATATATATATAAAGTATAAGATACTACGTATGTTTATATATTTTTTTATTTCTTCTTACTTTTTTTATTGTATATGTAAATTTATATGAGTAATGTAGGGAGTGGAAGTGTCTTCGTCAGATTTACCTCTTTTCTTGAAGAAACAAATAAAGTTAAATTAATTGAATGGACTTCGCTAATTTGATTATATTAGTTAAAATTTTGATTTGAATAATTTAAATAAATTATACTTATTTGATTATTAATTATATAACATCTAATAAAATGCTTAAAA